GCTCCCCAGAAGGAGAGCAAAGTCTCCGGAATTCTTGGGAGGGCACTGCTCATAGCCGACCTCACCCCTTTTGGCCAGCGCCCTCTGCAACTGGAATCTCTCTCTCTCTCTCTCTCTCCCCCCCCCTCCCTTTCTGAAGGGGCATGGGGAAGGTAAACATTCAGAAAATTCTTCCGGCTTTTCTCCCCAGGCACGCGCGCCGGCGCGCGCGCGCACACACACACACACACACACACACACACACACACACACACACACACACACACACGCACACACACACTTTGCGTTTCTTCCTTTCTCACTCCTTTGTGTCGTGTATTGTTATCATCATCATCATTATGAACTTGTAATTGATTCTGGGCAATGATCTAAAAAAAAAAAAAACAATCACCCTGCAGTCCAGGACCTGATAGATTGCAACCTTTTTGCTGGATGTAATTTACAGGTACAAGTGACCACTTGGGGGCACAGTTATTTGAGAAGGCTGGCACTGCGTTCAACAAGGCAGGCTTTAAAGGTTGGATGCCTGCTTCAGCTTAGCTACCTTTAAGAAGAGAGCCCTAGCTCTTGGTTCCTGAAGGAGTCCCAGGATGAAACGGAGCCCTGAGAGAAGTGTTCCTTTGAGGTGAGTCTGAGATTCATTGTGAGGGATATTTTCATGTGGGATTATATGGAACTATTCGGTTCCTTCCTCTCTTTTAAAAACTGGTTATTTAAAGATTTCTTCCATGTGAGGGCCTGTCCTTTTCATGTTTTCTCCAGGATTTGTGTGGGCATGTACACAACAAACACTTATTGCAGGAGGCAAACATTAGCCTTATTGTTATAGTTAAATTTCTTTCCTTTGTTAAACGAGTTATTTTTCCCAGTATGAAAAATATGATTTTTAAAAAAAAATCTGGAGAATTTAAAGGTAGAAAGGTGACTGTTGCTAACATGGCATATTTTTAGTCTTCTATGTTTTTTTTTTACATACTTAATATCATTACATATATATATATACACACACACACACACACACACGTATATATACCTACACACGCATGTGTGTGTGTATATATATATAATTATATATATATATATACTGTATATATTACCTGATTTCTTTTAAATAACTAAGTTTCCTTCTTACAAACTATTCTCTCAACCAAACTCATGATAAAGTCACTTTAGAAATTTTCTTCTCAATCCCCAAACAAGTGTTTTGTATTCTTCCTTATGGTTCCCTGATTAGAAAAAGGCAAGGATTGGCTTTCATGCCCCTTTTTGCCCACCCCAGCCCAGCCAGGCTGTGTGGTTCATAGCTGGGCAGAGAGGAGACAGAAACCTGGGGGAGGAGTCGGGGGGAGAAAGAGGATTGTGGGGGGCAGGTATGGGCAAAACCTGGGTGTCAAATAGAGGCTGAGGTTTCACCAAAGACCCCAAGGCCCAAGCGCTTAAGATGAGCACACAGGTAAGGTGCCCAGAAAGATCCGTGTCTGCTGTGCAGCAGAAATGGAGCAAAGATCATCTTTTTGTGGCTATTTGTATGCAGCCATTTCACATCCTGGTGAAGGGATTCTTCATCTTGTCACACGTTTTAGGAAATCATGCCTCCTTCCATGTGATAATAAGCCACAGAGAGAGAGCGGATTCCACCGGGTTAGTGCTTTTCCACCCAGGACAGCTTGCTACAGCACCAGGTCCACGGAGAGAATTCCTCACCCAGATCCCTCGCCCCTGCCCCTCCTCACCCCGTTCACGATGCTCTTCCCGTGCTTTAGGATTTGGGGTTCCAGTTCCAGCTCTGCCTCCAAGTCTTAGGTGGCGTTCCCCTTCTTGGGGCCTCAATTGTTCAAACTGTGGCACGTGCCCAGCACTGGCCTAGGGCCTAGGCCCTTAGAGGGAAATCAGCAAAGGAATATACACGAAATGTGAGGTGATCAGTTCCCCAGGAGCACACAGTCAGCTGGGGACTCTAGGAAGCAGTTCCATGAGCACCTGGGTCAGATAATGTCCATGGGTGGCACTCCTCCTGGAGGAAGCCGTAGAGGATGGGCAGGATGTGAACTGGGCAGAAAGCCGCAAGAGTGTTCTGGAGAGAGGGGAACCAAGGATGCCAACGGCCTGGCCAGAGAGTGGATCCTTGGAGCCAGCTGACAGTCCCCCTGAGAACAACGCTGTCTTCCTACTCTCCAGCCATGGCAGGGACACCGTTCCGTGCCCAGGGGTAGGCAGGCAGGACTCATCTGGCCCGGGCTTGTTGAGACAGGCTCCATACTCCATTACCCCGTCCCATGCGCATCAACATTGTGGGCTCTGTTGAGGGTGCCAACCACAGTCTCAGGGCTCTTGTACCCCCCAACTGTGCCACCAACATCCCTCCGAGGTGAATTCAGAGCAACGCAACCTTTAGTCACACCGTGCAAACCCAAGCTGGGTCTCCTGGGCCTACTTCTCACAAGGGAGAGAGTAGATTGTTAGCGGTATTGAACATGCGAGATGGTAGACTTGGGATGGGAACAAGGGGTACAGAGTGAGGCTGCCAAATCATAAGTCCACTTGCCCTTGGGGGCCTCCAAATGCTCCCTGCTCTGTGGGGCTTCCCAGTGACCACAGCTCGCCCTGATCAGGCCCTCCTCCGTTTCCGTTCTCTACGATAGAGCAACAGTTTGAGTTGTCACCCACACACTCTTCACTTGTATAGTCTATGTCTTGTGATGAGGCACTGCCCGGGAATGTGGAACTAGGGGGAGCAACTGAATTCAGCTTCCACACAGATGAATTTTCTCTGAGTTCCTGGCAGGCAGGAATTACCCTCCCACCTCCAACCTCTTACAGGCTTGTTGCAGGCAGTACATATTCGTGTCATAGAAGGTAGCTGTGCTCGAAAAGAGGAAGTAACTTGCCTAAGATCTCAGCATTTCTAGATGGCCCTGCTAAGATGTTGGGCCCAGATCTACTTGGCATTGAAGGTCATGGCTCTAAACATAGGGGCTCACTACTTCATGAGATGAGACACTGCCCACCAATGTGGAAATGGGGAACACTGACCTCAGAGTCGGACTATAGACTCCACAGCGAACAGGTGAGCACAGAGAGCACGAAGTCACCATAAAGACAGATCAGCTCTCACGCTTCTGTCTCAGGCTAAGGGTGTTAACATAGCTACAGAAAGAACATGTCAGCCAGCCCTGAGGCTCCAAACCAGGAAGAAAGGGACCCAGCTGGAGACTGAGCACCCTAGCCCTGCCCCGTGGGGAGGGTGCTCTGCTCCTCTTGTCCCCACCCTGTTCCCCACAGGCATCTGGTCAGTTCTGCATGTGACTGCCTAAGCAGGGGATGATGCACTTACAGCCCAAGGACACTGGCCTTTCAGACCATCCAGTAATCTCCTGTCCTCAGTGCAGAGTCACCAGCAGCCTCCTGATAGAGATTGAGCTTTTTGTGTGACGTGCCTTCAGGGGAGAAATCTGTTTAGCAGCGATACATGTGCCTGGTCTACCGGATGCCATGTTTTTAGTGTAAATCACCAAGACGCCAATACCTGGAGACCTTTCAATTTTGGGTGTGCTGCCAGCGAAGCAGGACGACCCCCAGCCTGGAGAATTGCATGCCAACCCCACCGGCTGAGACATACCCAGGTGGCCAGCTAACGTCCTCAGGTGCTGCTCTCCCAACACAGCACCACCCAGTGTCCATCCACAGGAGAACGGACACACAAACTGTGGAACGTGCCACGGAATACTACTGAGCCATAAAGAACGGACTACTGGGACACGTGTCAACATGGATAAATGGCAGACACAGTATGCTGAGTGAAACCAGCTGGGCGCAAAAGAGCACACACTGTACGTTTCTGTTTATACGAAAGTCAACAGCAGGCAAAGCTCATCTATGGTGACTGACATCAGAAATGATTGGGGAGAAGGGGGTTTGCTCGTAGAGGGACACAAGGAAACTTTCAGGGGTGATGGAAATGTTTTATAATTTGTTGTGGACGGGGGCTACACAGGTATATTCAATTATCAAACCTCAGTGAACTAAACACTTAAGATCTGTGGATTTTATTGTATTGCCTCAATGATTATACCTCAAATAAAATAAACAAATAAACACGATGCCCAGCACAGGGCTAGGGACACAGAAAGTGCTCAACAAGCATTTTTGAACTGTTAAAGTAAATGCCTTCTTTTTTTCCCTAAGCAAATTGTTCAAAGAATTTATTAGGAGAACCAGTTTGGAATATGTTTAGAAGTCTGGTTTATTTCATTGTGGTAAAAATATGTAACAAAAAATTTACCATTTTAACCGCTTCAGTGTATATCGTTCAGCAGCAGGAAGCACATTCACACTGGCGTGCAGCCATCACCACCATCCACCTCTAGAACCTTTTCTTTATCCCAACTGAAACTCTGCACCCGTTAAGCAGCTCCTCATTCCCCCTCCCCAGCCCCTGGCAGCCACTGTTCCACTTTGTTTCTATGCATTTGACCTCTGTAGGTCCCTCATGTAAGTGGAATCATACGGCATTTGTCTTTTTGTGACTGGCGTGTTTCACTGCACATAATGTCTTTCATGTTTATCCATGTTGCAGCAGGTGTCAGAATTTCCTTCCTTTTTAAGGCTTAATATCATTCCATTATATGTATACACCACCTTTTATGTACCCATTGGTGAATACGTGGGTCGCTTCCACATTTTGCCTATTGTGAATAATGCTGCTATGAACACGAGTCTTTGCTTTCACTTCTTCTGGGTATATACCCAGAAGTAAAATTGCTGGATCATAATTCTATGTTTAACTTTTTTGAGGAGCTGCCATACCAATTTCTGTAGCGCTTACACCATTTTACATTCTCACAAGCAGCTAAGGGTTCCAATTTCTCCACATCCTCACCTGCACTTGTTATTTTCTGTGTTTGTTTTTATAATAGCCATCCTAATGGTGTAAAGTGGTACCTCATTGTGGTTGTCTTTGGCATTTTCCTAATGATGAGTTGTGTTGAACATCTTTTCATGTGCTCATTGGTTACTGGTATATTGTGTTTGGAGAAATGTCTATTTAATATCTTTGCCCATTTTTAAATCAGTCTCTTTGTTATTGAGTTGAAAGTAGTTTTAATCATAACTTTGTGCAGGACTGAGAACCCAGTCTTGTGCTCTCCACTGTCACATGCTCACTCCCTAGATGTCAATCGCATGTCCCCTATGCCAGACCCCACCCCCAGTGGCCCTCTGGTCATTCAGAGCACAGGAGTAACGAGTCAGGCCCGCAACTGTCTCCCCCTTTTCCTAGGACCAAGGAGACTATATCTGGCCCAGGTGTCTACTCCAGATATCAAAAAAATATTTCTGAAGACCAGACATCCTGAGAGGCATACCTGGAATAAAAACAGCTGAGAGTGACAGCTCTGGAACTGGGACTTCAAGGTTCGCTGAGCACCCACCCCACCCCTACAAACTCCCCCAAGGGTCCTCCCCCGCAAAGATGGCTTTTTGTAGTTTCTGTGGACTCCAGGAGACAAGCTTTAAATTCCTTGGTGGGAACCTGAGCAGGGCTGTGGCTCTGGAATGCCTTTCTCATGGGAAGTGGGGGGAGAGAGCATAGGAGAGGCAGGACTGCCATCTATAGAAACCCAGGGCTGAGCCCTTGCCACAGGATGACGGCTTATGTGTCTTTATCCCAGCAGGGCAGTAGCTCACGCTGTTTCCCTGTAGTCTTTTGAGGGCTGCCTGCCACCTTCCCCTCAGGCCCCAGCCCACAACCCATATCCTCTCCCTCCAGAGAGCGCCGTGGGCCCCTGACCTGCCAGCCCTCTCCTTCAGGGTGCCAGGGCAGACCCTGTCAGATACCTGGGGCCAGGGAGGAAATGTCTCTTCAGCTCACAAGAGGGGTGGTGACTTCCATGAAGCATGGTTTCCATGAAAATCAGTTTCCTTCTCTGGGGGCAAAGGAGGACATTTTAAATCTTAGTGCCATTGGACTGTGGAGAGAGGCGGTTTCCCCGTGTTGCAAGAAGCAATCCAGGTGCTCCCTTTTTTGCAACGTGCTGCCATAGATTGGTAGATGGAGAAGCTTTGGCGCTTCCACTCGGCACACGGAGGCTTCAGCAAGAAATATGTTCCTTTCACAGTTTGAATATTATTCAAGTGTTGATGATTAAAGCTGGTTGGAACAGCATGAACCGAATAGATTACAGCACTCCCCTTACAGCAGGCTCTTCTTTAGCACGATCCGGCTAGACAGACACACACGATGCATGCCGCCTCCAGGTCTCATCAGACAGCTTCCAAATGCAGCACTTACACTGCCCCATTCCACGGCCCTAGCTTTGGGTTAGGAGAGCCAGAATCAGAGCACAGTCATCTTATATTTTCTCACATCCACCCAATAAGCTAATTCAACAGCAAAATAACCTACCCCAAACAAACATGCTAATTCAGTGGCAAAATAACCTACCCCTATCGGAAGAGGTCAAAACAGTGCAGAATTGCAACAAAAGGGCCTCAAGATGAACATGGATGTGAAGTTCCTGAGCTCAGACCCTGAAGCTCTTTCTCAGCACAGGGAGACTCCCAGGGATACACATAAATGCAGAGCGCGCGCCCCTCTTCACAGTCCTCCTGAAATGGCAATAATGTTCTGAGCAGGACAAGCCACTCAACTGCCCTGGCTTTGTCCTCTTGTCTGCTCCCCCCCCCACCCCCCCCCACCCCCGCTTCTGGGAGCTTTGTGAGGGTGCCTTGAGAAAAAGGAAGCCTCAGACCTGATTCTACCCTTAGGATAGAAACAACGCCAGGAGGGAGGAAGGGAGAGGCAGTGGAGCTGGACAGGCAGGCACACAGGAGCAGCCTGTGCCAACCCAGGGACAGCCAGCCCTCTGCAGTCTAACCCTCACCCAGCATTCCCTGTGCCATCACTGCGTTACAGGTTTGATCCCAGGCATTATAACCATGCCTTTCTCACAGTGAATCTCAGACCAAGGAAGCCACTACTTGGCTGAACGAGGATTGGAAAAGTTAAAACAGGGAGCAAACATGTTTTTGTGAGGTCTGCTCCAGGCTTGATTCATATCCTCTACCCATTTCCAATAAACAAACAAACAAACAAACTAATCTACAGATTAAAAATAGGACTGAAGTTGGAAAATGCAGTGTTACTGCCCTTTTGTGGTGGTCTATATGATTTCTAGGTGTTTCATATTTCTTTAAAACAATGCCTTTTGTGAAATACCACAAATTAAAAAACCTGAATAGAGACAATACCTTGCCAATAAGTGTGATTTGAAGAACGGGCTTTGTGTCGACTCTCAAAAGTGCCAGGTAGATTCAAGTCATCAATGGAATGAAGAAGCTACAAGAAAATTAGTCTTCAAAGTCTCAAGTCATAAATCCTGGAAGATTCCATTTAGATTAGTTAGGATTCATCAACAAGCATATTTAATAGGCATATGGCCAAATATAGCATCTAAAATTCCATACAGTGAAAAATCACGAACAGATAACTAAATAGCCACGGAGCAAAACCTACCCAAAATGTAGGCTTTGATGTCAATTACCTGATACCGTCTCTGGACATAAATTTATCCAGGCAAACATTTTAATTAAAGAGGTTTGTGCCAGTCACTATACTAGGCACTGGGGATTCAAGAGTGAACAAGTCCAGCTTCGTCTTTAGTGGTCCGGGATATATCCTTAATCCTGCATTGTTTCTACTCTTTGATTTTCTATTTATTTATTATTTATTTTGCTGGAACAGATGCCATTCAAGCATCTAAAAGTTTTTCTCATTAGCATTCCAGGAACCAGAGTAAATGGAAGCAGGTGAGCAAATCCAAAAGCACTATGAATGTTGGTCCGAGCTGGTAAAACATTCTTCTTTAAGCTCATGTTCCTTGCCTATAAGAGAATTCTTTTATTTATTTAATTAGCCAGACAACGTGGTACCTGGCACATGACAGGCAATGTGAAGTGGTGCCAAGGCACTGAGATCCAGTCTGAAGTATCAGAAACACACACACAGAGAGAGAGAGAGAGAGAGAGAGAGAGAGAGAGAGAGAGCGAGCAAAGGAAAGACAAGGCAGGCAGACTGGTAGCTGATGGGTCTGGGTTAAGACCCAACTACTATACAACGTGGCTAGATTTGTGGATTTGTGGTCTTGGGCCAGTTGATTACCTTTCTGAGTCTCATCTTCATTTGTAAAATGTGGATTACTCCTATTTGGCAGTGTTGATATGAGGATTAGCGATAATATATGGAGAATAAACTAAAATAGACTGGGTAGCCATAACTGGAGGCCATTATTATTATTATTATTATTATTATTAATTATTATTATATTACTGGGACTAGATATCTGTATAGTGATTGAATAATAGGTGGATTAGCTAACCTCTAAAATCCACATCGGCTAAAATTATGACACCAAAAATGGAATTAAAAGTTCATGTATCAATTCCATTCAAGGCTATTTTTAACTATTGCAATTGTGATGCAATCTCTTATGCTTTTCAGAATAAGTACTGTAATGAGACTGGCAGAATACAACATGTACACCCACTCTGGCATACCATGAAATTGTTTATGACAAACTTTAACAGGCTAGGTCTCTACCGTTTCTGAGATCTCTTGGATTGCTGCTGCCTCTTCTCTCACTTTACCTAAGCTCTCCTTTCTAGAGCACCGCTCTAGGCCAGGCACTGTGATGTAGGTTTGACCAGGGTTACCTCAGCCACAATTATTCCCTCCATTTTCATGAAAGAAACCTGCAGCTTCCTGAGGTTAAGGATCTTTCCAAGGTCACAGAGCTAGTAGGCGCCAGAGGCTGGACTTCAACTTTGACACTCAGCCCATGCCTTTACCCACTCAGCAATATCACAGCTACTTAGGCAATCCCTGGACGCAACATGTAAGAGAGTGCTGAGACTTGCAAGGAAATGTACACACAGAAAAGGAAGAACAAATGTCAGTCACACCTACTGCATTCTTTATCCGATTGTGTTCTGTTGACTGCATTTTCACCAAATCCCTTAAGCAAGAGGTCAATGTAATATGTTCGTGAAAAAAAAAAGTGTTAGAATATAGCAACCCCACATCTGGGTATTTATCCAAAAGAACAGGAAGCAGGATCTCAAAGAGATATTTGCACACCCATGTCCACAGAGCTGTCCCGTAAGATTCCACTTATGTGAGGTATCTCAAGTCACCAAATTCATAGAAACAGAAAGTAGAATGGTGGTTGCCAGGGTTTGGAGGAGGGGGAAATGGATAGTTGATTTTTAATGGGTAGAGAGTTTCAGTTTCGCATGATGAAAAGTTCTGGAGACCCATCGCACAACAGTGAGTGCTGACACTACTGAACTGCACAATCAAACACGATAAAGGTGGTAAATTCTGTTATGTGGCTTTTTTTCAAACCACACTTTAAACAAGGAAATAAAAGTGGCAGAATATATATTTGTATGAAACATTATATATACATAATATATATATACACAAATATATATATACACACACACACACATATATATATATATATACATATATATGTATTTCTATACGTGTGTATATATCCTTAAAAGAGGCAATGATTTAAACATTTCAACTATAAAATAATTATACAAATTGACACTTATGGGGCCAATGGCAGCCTTTACATGTCTGGGGAGCTGACCTTTGGGCTCAAACCCAATCCCCTATCGTAACAATCCTGGACTGTTCCTGTTCTAGCTTCTGAATCATCGGCTGCTGCAGAGTAAAAGTCTCCGAACCATTTGAATTTCGTGCAGATATGCTCTCTCATGGGAAATGAGAAATCTTCCCCTTCGTCACCCTAAAGGTAGAAACGCCGCACGATAACCAAGTTCATTTCATAAACAACAGTGTTGCTACTTTCAGTGATCAACTTGCCTCATCTTAATTTGCAGCTTCAATTTCCCCATTTTTAAGTGATTTCCTTGAAGAAAGGACAGACTACCTTTCGGACCTGGGACTCGGGAAAAGGGAGCTTGTAGCTGTCATAGGCAGAACCACCAAGTTTGCTTTCAAAGTGCTCCCACTCTCAGCAGTTTTGATCCAATGAGCAGATAAAGAATGCTGGCACGCTTTTCCTTCTTAACCAAAATGATTAAGACCATTTCTATGGAAAAATTTCTTCAAATGAAAGTACTTGCTGGAGATTATGTCACCGATTTTTTGTTTTTAGCATATTAGAAAATGACCCCCAATTTCCTGGGTAATAACAAATGACATCTTCTGCACAAACTACAAATATTCTTCCAGTTTCTTCCAGTTTCTAAACATTTGGGTCTACATGTGACTTTTCGGTCTGCAAAGAGATTTCTTGTTCTCTAGTCGTCCCATATGGTTTCTGCCTTGGTGTATCCTCAGCCACCAAAACCAATGGCTGGATTTTCTTATTTACAGCGTTTCTTCCTCTCCCTACCCCCAAGAAGGCACTTAGTTGACTGATTATAAAATCACAAGGCTGGTAATAATTCCATTTCTCCATCTGACTTTGAACTTAAGTGTTCCAATTACTTCGCCTGATCCTAATAAGTCACTAGCGTGCTAATGCTTGCCTTGATATTTCTGAAGTATACAGTGTGATTAGCATGGGCCTGCATCATTAGAAAGCAAAGTTGAAAGCGGGTGAGCAAAATCATCACTCGCTTTAAGCAAAACTGCCTGTTCAGTGAATTTACAATGTTACTATGATCCTAGGGACACTACATGCTGTTGTGACTAAATGTGTACTGCATTTGAAAAAATCCTCTGATGCTCCGGAGCCTTCTCTGTCTTTGGATCCTACTGTATGAGAAAGATCCTAGAAGAACAGACCCCTTCTAATACACAAAGTCCCAAAATCTGTTTGAGCCACATATAGCTGAAAACAAAGAATCCTTGAATCATAATGGGGTAGGGGAAAAAAAGAAGGAAGGAAAGAAGGAAGGGAGGAATGAAGGAAGGAGAAAAGGAAGGAAGAAAACCTTTGGTCAATTCTGCTGGATTGCATGGACATCTCCAGGCCATAAAACAAGACAGGTTTACCATAAACCTGCAGGAAGGAAAAAAGAATACCCATGTGCACACACACACATATCAAATGAGATGCTAAAAAATTACATTAGCATCAGTGGTGTTATTTTAGTCTATTAAAAAATTTAACCCCTTTATAACTGTGTGTAATGGAATTATAGTGTAAACTTTTTGGAACTAGAAGGGGGGAAAAAGAAATGCTTTAAATGGGAATGATTTGCAGCCAAATCAATTGACAAATGGAAGAAAAAAAGATGGCACAATTGAAATTGATGCCAAAGATTTATAAGGTTGACTAAGTAAACAAAGATGGAATGGATCACCATGGAAATGCATGAATATTGAAATAGGCAAGATTTGAATAGACTAATGATATGCCTCACTTCGACTGACAGGTGTGGATAACAACTGTAACACTCAAAGCACACCAACATCCACACTTTGAACATGTTTACTCCTAGAAAACAGGAGCTGGATATAAAAGGTTCCTTTACTAACAGTCTAAAAGTGAAATATATATATATATTTTTAATCTTAAAGGACCTGACTCAATTTACATCTTGAAAAACAAGAAAGGTTTCATCCATTTGCGTTCTGCGTATGAGGAGCTAGCAGAAATCACTCTCTTGGGCTCTACTAGTCCTTTTTCCAACAAACCTCTCACGAAACTGAATTCTCGGACTTGCCTGTCTTCCACACTGAGCACTTGAAGTATGACCACCACTCATTAGACACATGATTAAAAAGACACAACACTCGATTCCTTCTCCCCCTCACATACAGATGAAAACCAATAACCCCTAATCTATTTGTTACCATGGCTACCATAGGATGTTTTATTTCAGCACAACTGTAGGTATTTTGTTTGGATTGTTGCTTGCAAATGAAAGTTGGAGACCTATAAATTTCCGTTAACTGCGCAGAAATGGAGAGGCTGCATGGAAGAGAATGCTTTTCTTAATCACGGACAAATACGGTTTATTAGATGCTTGTGCAGAAAAGTTATTAAAATTGGTTAAATGTATCAGCCCATAAACCAATTTAAATGCCATTAAATTCATGTAGAGTTTAAGGGCACATATGCTAGCATTCCTCTGACTTATAGCAGGGTGATATATCAAGCACACCCAGAACAATGTATAGGTCGGAGATTATAGTCATCAGTGGTACACGGCTCTATAGCTGTATGTGACTGACTCAAATCCATACCAACCAGCCTGTGTGTTATCAGACAACGTTTTCGCCCAATGTCAGGATCAGCAATCTGTATAATTGTTCACCACTCCACACCCCCCCACACACACCAAAGAAAAAAAGAGTGAAAAAGTTAGCTCTACAATCCCCCAGTATAATTTTTTAAAACATCAGAAATGAGGTAGGCTAATTAAATTTGCTGTCGTTCGTCCTAAACGGAAATGATTCCTTAAATCTGCCTTCCCAGCGCTGAGTTGGAGATCAGACTACAGGGCAAGGCAGGAACTCTGTAGTGACTAGGCAAATGACTTTAAAGAGGCTGAAATCAGGGTCAAGACAGCTGTAACCGGGACAGATCTGTCACTGCAAGAGGAGTCCGAATCCCAGCGTAGCTCAGCTGACTAGGGACCGGAGCCTGCAGCTGTGGAGCCTGAATGTCCCTGAGCTGGCGAAGTGGAAGAAGTGGAAGTTTCGCGGGCCCCAGCAGCTTCGAGTCCTCAGTGGCGCGGTCCCTCCAGCGTCGAGGTCTCGCCTAATGCTACATAAATACCTGCGTCCACGATTCGCCTGGGGCGCGGTGTGGCGCAAGCACCGTAGGGAAGGAGGAGAGCGTTTGCTGAGCGGCGGGGACGGCAGAGGCGGCGGCTCATTACCCATCAGCATCCTGGGGACCCGCGGGAGGACCCGCCAATTGACCTCGTCTGCCCTGGGTGCCAGAGCCCAGCAACGACAACTGGTTTACCAGCCGGAGGACTCAGGCATCCGAGACTCGCGCTTTGCCTCCATCCCCTCTCCTCGGTGACGGTTGGTAGCCGGCAGGCAGCGCGTCCCCGCCTTCCCCAGCCAGCGCAGACCCGACCTGCCCCGGAAGCTACCTCGGACCTACCCCGGCTCTCGGCTCCGCACTCCGGGCGCCGGGCGAGCGCGCTCCTCCCCTCCGGGCCGGGATCAGCGCTGCCCGGATCCCGCACCCGCGGCGCGAACGCAGATAACCCTCGCGCTCTCGGCCCGCTCCAGGCCCGGGAGACCCGGGCGTGAGCCCTCGGCCACCCAGCTCTCCCTGCGGGAGTCGGGGCGCGCGTCCACACTCGCACATTACACATCTCCGGGTCCCTCTATCCCACCCATAAACAACCCCTCCCCACCTGACACCACATCCTCGTCCCTTCGCCATCCACGTAAGCTCGCCTTTCCGCGTTCCAAACACGGTGGCCCCCATGAGGTGTTAAAGGAAGGGGGGGTCACAACGAGGTCTGTACGGCTCCCCTCCCGATGGTTTTCAAGCTCCTCTACCTCGAAAGTTACTTGAGATTGAGTGAAGAGACCCGGTCCCCAACTGCGGGGTCTGAGGACCGGAGGGGGCAGAAACCCCAACCTGGCTTCTTGCTGCACAGAGGCGCGCGCCTCCCCAAAGGGCAGGGCGCGAGGCCGCCCCCCCCCCCGGAGTCCAGCCCTTGAGTGCGTCTTTCTGGCCCCCAGCCCCGCTCGGGCCCTGGGCTGCTCAGGGGAGGCGGCCTGGAGAGGAACTCGCGCTGCCGGGCCCAGCCAGGGGGCTGCCCCGAGGCCGGGGGTCACACTGGTTTCCAGCATCCTCGACCACCGCGACACTGGTCCCGGGCAGCCCCTGTGCATACACACCCGGGGGCAGGAAGTTTTTTCCCCCGTTTTTCCCCCCCTGGAGCAGCGCAGGCGCAAGGGCTCCTGCAGCCTGGCGAGTCCAGACGCGGGAGGCTCCTGCGCCGCCGCCGCCGCGGGAGCCGAGCCCAGCGTACCGGGTTCTCGGGCCCCGCTCCCCAAGCCCGGCACGGCCCCGCGCTGCAGCCAGGACTCGGGGTCTCGGGAGCCGCATCCGTGGCGCCCTAGCCTGGCTCTTACCTCTAGCCGCGGGGCTCCGGCCCCAGCCCAACGCGCAGAGAGCCGGGGGTCTCGGGTGGGCGCAGGAGGGCTGATGGATAGCGGACGGCGCCGGCGGGTAGCGGTAGCTGGGGCCGCTCGGGTCCTGGCCGGGAGAAACGGATCCAGGTCCACCTCCTTGCGTTCCTGCTCTCCGCCTTCTCCCCCTGTTCCTCCTCCTCCTCCGCCTCCTCCGCCGCCGCCTCCCGGCAGCCCAGGGAGGATGCCCGGAGAGGGAAGTCAGTCCTTCAGCCTGTCAGCCGGTGCGGCTACGCGCGGCGCGGCTCTCACCGAGGCGGCGGCGGCGGCGGCGGCTCCGGCAGCATCGCCCCCGCCCTCTCCCCGCAGCCGCGGCGGCCGCGGGGCTGGGCTGGCTCCGGGCTCCGGGCTCCGGAGAAGGGGTC